TCATTTAAAGAAATTGAATCTTATCAAGTTTGTAATTTTAACTGTCTATCCATCAACTGAACATTATGTTTCTAGTATTTACTGACTCTCAATCAAACATACAATCGTGTTACATTACTGTTATCTAAGCTAATATACACACACATACACACACACATTCGATCAATTATTCGTCAAAAAGATAGTTTGAAATATACTTCAGTATTATGCTTTATGAATTCATCACATTTCATTTAGATTCTGTTGTCTAAGTATTAAAAGAATTGATCTTTTGTTAGAATTATCATTTGCACGTAATGACATCAAGTTATTCATATAAACATATATCTTGTTTTAGATACAGACGAAAAGTAGATTCATTCTAGAAGCAAATAGTAACTTGATAGATACGCATTAAATGTTAGCTATATCACTAACTAACTAATTATCGACCTTATTTCACTAGTACGATAGTCATTAACTAGATCATTCGTTTAGAATGTCGTCTATATACATTAACTGTACTAGTTATTACATGGAAATATACATATGTATACATATATATATTTAGTATGATACAGTGAAGCTTTCAAAGATGTATCAGAATACAAGATTGTAAAAACTTATTCGAAGGTGATGTAAGCCATTATTCCTGTAGATTAATCAAGTGTAAAGAGAAGTAAACAGCTACCAGTAAGATGTAGAAACGCCTCTTCATGTCAAGGTGAACATGACTAGTGAAGTTTGCTATCGTTCCACTAAACGTAAAATTTGTTTGAATTAGGACTGAGTTTTCCAGTCTCATTATTTAAATCGGTTGTATGTTTTGAACTGCTGTTTGATGCCTATAGTTTTCATTCATAGTGATGACATTAGCCCATGTAAATAATCCTGAATGAGCATCTAAGTAAAACACAATTTATAGTCAACTAATTAACTATTTCATTATTTATATACAAAATATTCAATGCAAATAGTGCTTTTTATCAATCTGCATTTTTCTCAATGACTTAAATCCAACTAGTCAACAGCCAATGCTTTTCCAATCTCTTTTAACACAACATACTTATTACGACGATCTTGCACTTTTGATATTCACATCATAACAGAACAGATTATAAGACAAAGAACTATTAGTTATTTTAACAAGTATTTGTCAGAGAATTAAAGCTAGTGTGTATCTAATCAGTATTCTACACAAACTAATTTGACTACGAGTTATCTGTTGCTGAATTTAAAATGGAAATTACCAAGCCATTAACAGGCCGGTAGAGCTCCAATCTACGACAGAATTAATGAATCTTATCAGATAATCTAGAATCTAATGTGTAACCGGTAAATTACGAATCGATTAATTTCCGAAAAGACTTACTTGGGCATTCATTGTACAGAGAAAGGTATAATGTAACGAGTCTTTGTCTCAAACCAAAAAGTGTCCACACAACTGTTTCGTTTAAATTCAGTACTCCCAACTCACTTCTATGTCAATATAACTAGAGTGAAACGTCATTTTTTTATGGGCAAAAGATAGATATATTTATTTACAATATATCGATATGAGTAGTTTGTGTATACAAATTTTCCTGAGCATTAAAATAAGATGTAAAGTTGTAAGCTATCTTTTATGCAGTTGTTGAGTCAAAATAGGAAATTATTGATATTATACGCTGGATTTTTATAAGCCAAACAACGATGACATTTCAAAGAAGTGTCCAAACAACTCTACAAGAGTAATCATGCTTACAATGTATGAAAATATTTTGAATTACCATGTTAATCCTGAATATCACTAGTAGTATACAGTCAACGACATCCCTTAATCTCACTTCTGTGCATCATTCAAAAATATCATTTACAGAACAAGAATATTAGATAAATTTACTAAATCAAATCTTAAATGAACGCAAATAAGAAAAACAGAGTGAATCCCCCTTGCTCTCGAAGAGAAAAACCACACACACACGCAGACGTACAGACAGAACAAATAACAGACAAGAATACATTTTACAAACTGGCGTTGCTTTTTTTTTCTTCTTATAAATAATTAGGATAGATGATCATAATCCAATGTTTTGTATACAAACCAATAAAAATCAATCGATTCATCGATTTATCGAATGAATCAAACAAACAAACAAACAAATAAACCAGGAAGGAACTAAAAATAGTTTTCGTAACAAAAAAACAGAAGAAGAAGTGGGAACACAGACAGACCATTGTATGTCTGTGCATAAGTTAAATTGTGAATAATATAAATAGTTACAGGACAATAAGTTAGTGTAAACTATTCATTCATTGAATAAAATCTAAACAGGATGTGCTATTATTATTATTATTATTATTCATCAATGGTGTCATTGTTTTTTTTTTATTATTTACTTAATTATCAAGCTGACAACAAGGAAACAATTAAAATAACAATCAAAATGAATTTTATCCAATAAAAACTAACAACAACACACATAGTCGGTGAAGTGACAATAATCACAATGATAAGAGAAGTAAGTAGTATAAAAGAAGAAGTAATGAGAATTACAATCTCTCCTGATTACTATTGACTACTACCGACTACAATCGACCATCACCATGATTATGAGATTAAAAGAGACAGAACAACCAATCAGATGTGAAAAAAAGCACATGAACAAACTATCGATTCATGTCTGTTCAATGAAGTATGTAAAAAGAGAACGAAGAGAAAATTGAATAGAATAATGAACATGGATACATGTACATGTACATCTTTTTTATTATTATTATTATTAATAAAAAGAGCAAAGTCTATTACAGATTAATAATTGACAGCGAACAGCAGTTTTACAAATTGCTCAAAAGGCATACAAACATCTGTACCACCAATAGAATAAATAAAAATCAGTCAATTGTATTGACATTTTCTCAATGAATTAAAAACAGCACATAGGAAGAGGAAAATTCTGAATGTGAATAAATCATAATAGTTGAAAATAACATCTACACTGGTGTTAATCATAATTGTAATAATAAGTAATAATAATAACAGCTGTTTGTAGGCGCGCATACAAAGTTTGTTTTGTTTTGTTTATATTTTCTTGTTAATCAATAAAATGGGGAAAAAAACAAACAAGTAACCTTCCTGATTCCTCTGAATAGAAATTTTCTAAAAAAACAACGGTTACATATTATATCTGTTACTTCGTGTGTTTTTTTTAACTTATAATATTAAAATCTAATAGTACGTGGGGCAGAGAAGAAGAACAATGTAACAGTAGAGAATTTAGAAAACAAAACAGGAATGAATGCCAAGAGTGACAATAATGACAATAACACATATTCATACATACTTCCAACACTCTTACAGGATAAAATGGATGCAGTAATATAATAAAAAAAATTCATGTGGCGTGAAATTCAAAGTGGCAAAGTAGAATAAGTAGTAAATAATAAGAGTTCTACTTCCATTGTATAAATAGAAATAGGGAATATGAAGTGGGACTAAACGAAAACACTGGCAAAAAATGTGTTATTACATAAAGACATCTAACAAATAACACATACGGCTATATTTATATATTTATATACAATATACAAATCAAAAAAAGAGACTGTGACATTAGACAGGTTATTTACTAATTTTAAAAATATTGTACATCATATTCAAATTATTTATTGAATAACAAATTAAAATTTTAACAAAAAAGCAAAAAACATGGGTTGTGCTTGATAGTGTGAGGCGGGAACCAACCTGAAGAAATTCAAAATGAAATTAATGTAATGAAGTGGCGCAGAGTATATATATATATATATTATATATATCTATATAAGAGTACAAAGACTTGGTGGGGAGGAGGAGAGGGAAATAAAATTGTCACTCAAAAACTTCACTTCAACAAAATGCACAATAGTAATAATGATAATAATAATAATAATAGTAACAATAATAATAATAATCGTATTAATAACCTTCTGATCCATCTGAGCTTGTGTAGTTAGTTCTGTTTTACGAAAGAAAAAAAAAACAGTGTTTCTTTGTGAAAATAATTACAATACAATTTTTTTTAAAACAAAAAAATGATAACTACAAGAATTCATCATAATCATCACCTAATGTGAGTTTTCTTTTTTTTTACTGGAGGGAGTCTGTGTAGAAGAAGAATAAACCATTGAAAGAAGTGTTGTATTTTGTTTTACTGGAAAGAGGAGAATATAAATCAACTATACAATAAACAGCATGCATCAATAATACATGTGAATAAAATATCCAATGAGTGAATTCAAACAAGTTTTTTCATTCTTACTCGTAGTAGCAGTTATAGTTGTAGTAGTTGTTGTATCGTGTTAATGGTACTAGTTAATCGTATACCATTGAAGAATTGGTGAAGCGTTGAACGTACATAAGGTATTTGTTGTGCACAATCACACGATATTGAAGAAATAAGTGTTACAATCATTGTCCTATTGATTATCTTGATTGATTTTATCCTTTTCTTTTAGTGAAGAAGAATATATGTCCGGACTTATCTCCTTGACCTTCTCTCTACTATCATAAACAGTACACAAAAGTAGAATCACAGTAGTGTAGAAGTAAAGAGTAGACAAACAAATGGAGGAAATCTTTGCTAAACATTTTGAACTAAATTTATATTTCTCGCTCTCGTGCTCTCTCTATCACACACAAAGACGTTGAATGGATCAAGCGTAGTTTTACTTGTACAAATAACAAATATTCCAGTTTAACACATGGGAATTCCCAGTACAACTATGTGCGTGTGATCAACTGAACGCGAGGGGGAAGGGGATGGGGGGCTAAGGAGAATATATATATATATATATATATATATATATATCTGTCGAGAGAATTGTTTTCATTGTCATGATAAATGGGAATCTTTTGTGAAATTCTATGCATATATGAGTTATAATTTATAATTAAAAAAAACCAGGCTACATTATAGTAGTATGTGCGTGTGTAGTAAGTAGTAGAGGAAGGATACAATTTTGTTTTCATGATTGAGGAAAAATGTGTGCGTGAGCAATTTATTTTATTTATTACATTTGTTATTATTATTATTATTATTACTATTTGAGGCGGCAGAAATATGACTATTCAATGTACGCCGTTTTTTTGGTTGATGTGAATAAATAGTCTGATTAGATGGTGTTGTATCTAATATCGATGTGTCACGATGTTTACTCATAATACAATTAGTTGTTAAATCATTCAAATTTTTCATTGAATTCTGATGTTGATCCCACAAGATCGGAGATTTATCACATGATGACAATTTTTTTGTCCATATACTTGATTCCGTTGTTGTAGTAGTAGCAGTAGTAGTAGTGTTAGCAGTAGTATCATTGTCAATGGTTAAACGAGGATTGGGATGTTGAAATTCCAAATGATTTATTATCTCTTCACTTGGATCATCAACAGGATCTCTTGTGAAACTATCGGTTTCCGAAGCGGTTGGAGTTGATGAACTATGACTACGGCCACCTTCTAAAGGACTTGTATTACTAGATAATTGAATAGTTTCAGGACAAACATTAGAATCTAAACGATCCTGTATGGCGGGCAGTGAACATGAAGAAATGGAACGATGTATGTCTAAATCTAAATTATTTGATGAATTCATTTTACGTTTTAAATTTGACGATAACATTGTTGATGTCATAGATAAGTGTCTAGATGATGAATTTATGGAATCTATCATTGGATTATTCGAAGGAATGAAATGTTGTTTATGCTGTGGATTAGATACAGCAGAAACAGTTGGCATTTTCAAATTTGTCTCATCGCCAGAATTCATTGATCTGAGTTTGTTAATGGACTAAAGTAATGAGTAAAAACGACAAGATAAGAAAAACCCAATTATAGCTAAGTTATAAATGTATATCATATGAAAGTAGAATATCAACAATAGAATACGTTTATATGCATTAATATATAATAAACATTGACTGTTGAATAAATCTAGTCAACAACATAGAACTTCGTACGTACGTACGTACGTAGATCAGTTCGAGCTGCCATACCACATTAGCACAGAGATGTAATTATTGAATAAATTGGAAAAATGTATGAACTGATTGGTCGGTGGAGCCGTTGGTACAAAACAACTTAAATATTGGAACCATTAAAATTGGATTTAGTCGATTTCATTGTGAACAAACAGTAGGACAAATGTAAGTCACTTAATATCAAGAAATTTCAAAAAAAAGATAACTCTGATTAAATTTGAAGAGCAAACCTAAAACACATAAGTTCTTTAAATGTTAGCAATATTTAATTAGATTACTTAATACTGTTATAAGCTAAATTTGTATCATACAGGATCATTCGATTAAATGATATACAGAAATCGGATTGTGCAGAATGTTGAGTTTTATTGAAATCATGAATCGATCAATGTTAGACCACCATTAGAAACTTGGAAGCACTGGAATGGATGTTTCATCCTAGTATGGAAATCATCAGCAGTCCGTGTACATAACCCCTACCCTCGGGAACCGAACCCAGGACTAGTGAAGTTCAACCTTGTCGGGTGTATGGAAGTAACTACCGAAGACAATGGGTGGGGTTGCGCGAAATCCTTAGATTGATCAAAGTTAGACATGAACATTGTTGGACGCCGGCCGGCTCAGTGGTATAAAGGTTCGGCGTTTGCGTGTGACACTAAGCGTCTCGATCTCGATTCTCGAGGGTGGGATTCGTGATTGCGCACTGCTGAAGAGTCCCCATATCAGGACGAAACGACCGTCTAGTGCTTTCGGATTTCTAATGGTGTTCTAACAGTGATCAATTCACGATTCTAATATGATAATTCATTTTTCTGATTCCCTAAACAAAGAGGAGAACGCAAATTTGCATAAATAATTCAACATTCTTAAATATATGAATAAGAATCAAGTACATACAGAATAAATTTACCAACAGATCCCTCTATTTGAGATATTACATTACTAGCATTCATTATTGTAGACACAAATCAGTGGATACATAAGAATTTCACAGTACTATTTTGTCTTGCAACTTATAAACTGGTGAAAATTTTAAGCAAATCATCACATGACTTTTATACTGCAGTCTAATTTTGTTAACCAATGTTTTTATATGTTGTATGTCAATAATTGAAACTAAAGAAAGAGAGTGTGTGTGTTTCTCACGTGATCTTCACTAAATGATCTTTATAGAGCTAGCTATATCCGGAGATAAATATTTCTATCAATTGAAATTATGTTTCTACCAAATTTGTTTAGTTTACACATTTCAGATAAACTTTTTTTTCTGAAAAAAAAGTAGTGGTAGTATTATACAACTAAAATTTCATTGCATACGAAAACTTAAGTTGTAGTAGAATATGTGTGATAAGAGACAAAACTAAGCAACACAAATATTGAGAATATTTTCTGACAATATTTTCAACTTCAACTATTCCATGTTAATTTATGCTGAGTTATTTCAATATGAATCTGATGGCCCGATCCAATTCACAATGATTTTAATATGAGAGCGCAATACAAACTGGAAGTGTAATCAGCATATCATAATCACTGAACAATAATCGCATGCTAAAGAATGAAGGGATAGAAGAGTGAAAAAAGGACGAAAAACTTGAAAGAAACTGGGTCAGATATCTAAAGATACTACGTTACGTCCGGTTAAAAGTTGGCATTGTACAGTCAAACTAGTACAAAGTTGGGAAGTGAAGCTGCACCATGTCACTGGATAAGTTTGAAATCTTAACCAGTTTTGGCCAGTCAAGGTGTCTGAAACAAATGAATAATTTCTTATGTTGGGATTTAGAATTTGAATGTAAAATTTAGGAACATTTTAACTGATTTAGGAAGCACTAAATGATCAGCACTTTAATTTAAGCTTTAAGGATTGGATTGGCGTTTTAATATTTATGTTAAAGATTCAAGTTTAGACTACAGTTTATGATCAAGATGTTCGGTTTAGAATTGAGGATTAGAGTATAGTTGAACATAAATTTACATATAATATTATCTAACCGTAATCATAAACCTTAAACCGAAATCACGAAACCAATCCTAATTGTACTGCTAAGTCCTTATGTGATCAGTGGCTAAGCTTGAATATCTGCGCTAACTGTCTCCTCACATCAGAATATTTTCATTAAGTTACATCTTTTTGTTTGCTTTAATAAGTCAATTATGTTTAGTGATCATATAATCAACTCAAGAGTGTATATCGACTGTTTAAAACCTATCGCTTCACAAGTCACAAAAAAACACAATTCGAGACATAGCAGTAAGCAATGAAAAGGGAACTTCTTGAAATATTCCACTCTATTGAATAAAACCATTACAATTATAATCAATATTACTATTAGTATTATTCTGTGTCCTAATCTAAAGTCTAAGTTTTAAACACTTAGATCTAATTGTTAAAACTGAATTGTAGTCTTAACAAATCACTGCTTTCTAAATAGAACAAGATATTATCCATATCATAGTAAATAAATAACAACTTCTCAGTGAGATCATCAATTTTATTCTTAGTAGACAACCTGTTGTTTCACTCATGGATCGTGAATTGAACCGGTTCATATGTTCACCAATGGCTTATCCAAATCATTAATAATATTAATACAGTACAAACCACGCTCACTTTCTTTTTTAATCATTAATCTTGTTAAGTGAATTGCATAATATGAGATCGTCTGATTATCTTTATTTACCAGTGAGTATGTTTGTATGTGTACAAATGAAACAAATTATGGACAGAAATCAAACATTCATAATGTAGAAAATTAGTTCATGTTTGTTTTAATTTGGTGGTAGTTTATTTACAAAAATAATTATTAGTTAATCTTTAAATTATCTATATCTTTACAACAATAATCAATATATATATATATATATATATATATATATATATATACATGTATACAATACAATATACAAAAAAAATAATAAAATAAAAACGCCTATAATATATAAATACAAATACATAAAACTTTTAGTCAAAAATTAAAAATGATCAATTTCTAATTCTATCTAAACATCAAATCGAACAATATAGTGAAACATGTTCATATTATATAGATGCATACATAGAGTCCAATAATGTCAGTCAATCCCGAATGCTGGTACGGGTATCAGGGTGGATGTCACTTTTCGACAGCCCACACCGTGGAACGGTGTTTCTTGAGGAATCTGAAAAAGAAAGTAGATTAGCGTTGGTCTTAACGACCTGCGAGCATGACCGCAGAGCCCAAGGGATAACTGCTTCAGGCGAGTCACACACGGCCTTTTTATGAGTTTTTAAAGTATTAGCTCAGCTCTTATTTAAAAGCCCTTACCGCCGGTGACGGAAATCTGTGAGGTAAGGTGAGGTGTGACATTTTTTAGGGTCAACCTTTTTTAACTTTTCCTTCCTTTTGAGAAGGCAGCATCGCTGCAGATGCTGGTTGTCAGAGAGAAACACCTTACTGCTGTCACACCCCTCTGCAGTCAGCAATACAACATCGCCGTCAGACCTTGAGTAGCTGCATTCAGTCTCATCATTCTCCAATCGACCTGCCTGGCACGCTGGAATGTTCAGGAACATATGTTCCAACCAATATAGCTCGGTTGTGTCATCAGGATAGGCATGCCCTACCAACACGTTAAGGTAGCAGCTACGGTCCAATAATGAGTTTTCTATTAAATTTCTATGTAACATAATATGATTCAATCTAGTTTATTTGATTCAATAAAAATCAGTTGAGAATACTGAAAAAAGCTTTGCTTATAATCTCTCAGACATCGCTCTCTCTCTCTTTGAATAAACTCACCGCGTTGAAAATGTCTTACTTTTGGTAATAAGAATATTATCAAAAAATTGTCTTGGCATTCAGTGTAATTTATCACTTCTCACTACACTCAACTAATATACTGAGTAATAGTAATGTGTAGTTTTCTAGTCTACTTCAAACATAAGAAATAACCTATCAATTATTTGTACAAAGTAAGTAAATACCAAATTCACCGAAATATTGAATAAGCAATACCACTGAAACTCACCGAAATAATTCGTGTTGGATCAACAATCAAAGGTGAAAAATCATTTCGTGCTAAACGAGTCAGATTGTTGTTGTTGCTGTTGCTATTGTTATTGTTATTATTACAGTTATAATAATAATTACTATTATTACTATTATTACTAGTATTAGTATTACTATTGTTCTGGATAACAGAATGACTTGATACATCGTCTGATCTGTTGTTCAACATGGATTTGTTATCGAATTCCATATCGAAATGATGAAATTGATGGTGATTTCCAGTCGGAGTTGTTGATGTCATGGTTGGCGGTAATGGCGGTTGACACGATGATGATGATGATCCAAGTGGAGCATTATTCAACAGAATTGGTACAGATGTATTACTATTATTATTATTATTATTATTATTATTATTATTATTATTATTATTATTTGTAATAAAGCCTTGTAATTGAGGTTGAAATCGTAATATTTGATTTTGAGTCTGTGTAAGCCTCTATACAATCAAAAGAAAAAGAAACACATAAAATCAGCTATCAAAATATGATAGCAAACATTATGGATAGCTTATAAATGTTGAAAAAGTGTATTTTTTGTCAAGAATAAAAATTATCTTTTCTAAAATAGATTTTTAACTTTTAAAAATAGAAATGCTTCATTGTTACAAGGGAAAAACTTTGTTCGTTACAAAAATAAAGAGTCAGCCAACAGGAGATATTGATAACTCATCAAGCAATCAACTCTATCGAATAACTAAATCTGTTTATGAAGTTCAAATTATTGACAGTATAAAAAATAAATTTTGATGTGAGAACCAAACAGCACCACAATCATCCACCTGAGCTACAAATTTTCTCCACCATCTCACTATACGCGTATCACTGTTGATCGATCTACATTTGAAATTCGAAAATCTTACTTTTGATACAAGCACATGCTGAAATCAAGATATCGATTTGAATTTATCCAAGACGAGAATGTTTTGTAATAAGGTTGCTGAGGTTTGTGCAAGCTGTTTTTTTTATGCGTCAATCGGCTTAGATCTCCAACTTACTATATAACTAACTATACTATATACTATAGAATGTATAGACAGTTCCTGGAATACCACTTTAGTTCTTCTGAGATGTAATGAATCCTAAAGAATGTGATGGTTTAAGTAATTTGCTCGTCCAGACAATCGTTACTAAGTAGCACCTGACGGTTTTAAATTAGAAAGTAAACACGAAGTGTTGAATACGTTTATTTTGGCACACCACAAGCATGTAGAACAGAAAAAGCACATTAACGAGCGTATTGGCGAATTGGCGAATGAATTAATAAGATTAAAATGTTCATATATATATGGATAGGGAAATGTCTGTGTCATCGAAATATTTAAGAGATTAACATTAAAGCCAATAGGATGAATATGCACGTAAACGGTAAGTAACGTTCAGTCGTACCAGCTCATACAAAACCAGACAATAATAAAAGCCAATGTTACATAAAGGTAATTGTTATACAAATGGCTTGATTCAATAAATTAATCGAAAGGTTTAAACAAATTAAATATAAGCGAACTCAAATGAATGTGGAGGTACTACAACATGTCATAATTTAGTGTAGACCTAATCTACAAACATATAAAAACCTATAACCAATGTGGATTGCCGTAAGTGACTACACCATGCCGACATGAATTTATGAAGATTGATAAAAAATGTCCACAGCTTCCTGCTTTACATTGGTTATTAAACTAAGGTAAGTCTGTGGTGTCGAACTACAAACAATTAAATCATTTGCTATTCAATAACATTTATTCCACCAAGTGTCATCAGTCTCCGTTCGACATTTGTTCTACCAGTTGAATCAACTAAAAGTAGTAATCAACTGTACTAATAAAATTGTTTCGCTTCCGTTCACAAATAATCAGTCAATTCGTCTTGCAAAATGAACACAATGAGACAATTTCTGTTTCATTACATCAACTCCCTATCAAAAATGTCTAAGTTCAATCAAGATTGAACTAATCTTAGTAGTTGTTAATCCTGTTTACAAATACAAGAATGATAACGAACAACAATGAACTTGATCAGTGGCTAGTACAAAAAGTTACCATGCTCCTCCTGGTTACTGACCAATGTTCCACAAGAATCGATCGTCAAATATTACTTAGCATAAACAATAGTAACTTCTTAAAGGCAAGAGATTCGTATTGTTCAAGTGTAGTTTCGAACAACAACAACAACAACAAGAGTGGATTGAATATACATGCATCTGTATAAAGTGAAAAATTGTATATCCTTTCAGAGAAAAAAAACAAGCCTAGATATACAATGTGTTTGTATACATGTATATACGTATAGATATGTATGAAATGTATTCAGTTCTAATTGATGGACAGAAAAGACAAAAATATAAGACAGGAAAAAAGAGAAAAAAGAGGATGTCACAGTTTTTTTCTTTATTTTTTGTGAATATTATGTGTGTTGTGTAGAAGATATCAATCTCTAAAATCTAGAATAAAAGACAACCACAAACAACAGCTGTAGTAAGTAGAGAGGAGAAAAAAAAATAAAACTGCCACCTAGAAAAGACAAAAATAACGCACGCACGCACACACCACCGCCCATTTCGATGATGTGAAGCAGTAACGAGAACTAACTTCATGCATACAGTAGATGAATGTATAAACAGATAATTATAATAATTATCATTATTATTATTATAAAAATGAATGTGAACATGGAACGCTTGGATAATGTGTCCTTCTTCATGGATAAGATATCAATTAGGCAAAGAATGAACAAAATAACTAAATAACAAAGACAAGTAATTTACAACGAACTAACAACTACACTACTTAACTCGCTTCCTAATGTCAACAAAAAATATAAATAAATAATGAGAAAACATACAGAATAGACATGTGTGCCCAATGCATCCATTTTTTCGCCTGTGTGTGTGCGTGTGCCTCCATTACATGCGCGCACAACGATCACACTCACACCCATACACACGCATACATAAATATATCAAGATAGACTGAGATGATTACGTTAAGTTTGTCTAGATTGACTGTGAAATGAAATGGTCACAGAAAATTTTCTTCTAGTCAGGTCTTAATGAACTGGATTTCAGATACACCAAACGTTTATTATAAATAAATTAGTGTAGTTTTATTTTTCGTTTTTCAAAAAAAAAAGAATAATTTTCATTTAAAAGCAGTCATATTTATACACACATATATATAAATGCCATAAAGTAAATTTATTTTCGATAAAAAAAAGAAGATATAAACAGATTTACAATTTCTTCCAAAAAAAGTATAACTTCTACAAATTTTCCAGAGAATGATAAATATTGGATTTGAATTGTACGCAGTAAGAATATTAATTTGTTCTAAAAATAGAATAGTTACGAATTACTTTAGATGAGACTGTACTGTAGATTTTGACTTATATAAATTTTAGATAACTCCACACAGCGTAATCTTGAATTGACCTAACCGACAACTGACTTGATGAACAAGGTTTTGTGATGCAGAAATAGGCTGGAAGAAAGCTAGGAGTGGCCAAACCAAAACATGGCACAAATCCATGAAGTCACTGACTAGTGGACTGCGCCATGTTAGTAAATGTAGACTACCTGGTTGGGGTCCGCGAGACAATGGCAACCGATTTTTTGACTTTGAATGACATGGTTCGAATTCGTTTGCATTGGCGCAGATGCGTCTCAAATTCTAAATCTTCTGAATTCTTCAGGACCTATCCTACCTTCGAACCCTAATCTTCTCCATTACCGCTAATAAATCTACCACTATGGAGGATTTGAATTGATAATTGCATCTCTGTACTAATGTGGTACGGTAACTTGAACTGGTGTACGTACGTACGAAGTTCTACATTGTAGCTGGCTGACTGACTGACTGAATCTTGATGTAAAATTTGTTTTTCCTAGAAATGTAAATCTTTACTGCAATAAATTCCTTCAGTGTACTGTATTCAATACAGTATAATGCTCAACAAACATATTGAAATCAATCTAATCTACTGACCAATGAGAAAGATTTTAATCACTTACAAACAAGGTCAAAGACCAAATAAAAGCAAAAGAATATCCAAGCAGTTACTCATAGTATATCAGTTATTTTTTAACATTGCAATAGGACAAAAGTTCCTAATTAATTCCTGGGAAAATTCGATTAGTTTACTCTTTTTTTTTAACATTTTGCTCTGATTAACTTGTGTAGAAAAAAAGCCAAAGTTACACATTTTGGAACCATTCAGTTCAAAAAAAAGTGTAAAACCATTTGAAATCTTCTACTTGAACAACAAATTTCCCTTTTTAATGTCTCTGTGAAAGGACAGAAAGCTATTTAATAAGTGAAGTTGATCATCTTTCGCTAACACCAGATTGAGAAATTCCCTTTTCCCATATTAGTGTCAATTTTCTAAAACTAAATCGATGTTCTATTTGAATTATAAGTAAATAACTATAGAGAATGTGTCAATTTGAAAATTCAACATATATATTGACAATTGAATGAGATAGTTTATATCTCTGTCGGTATACAATTTATGAGTATTTTATGTCAATAAGGCGCATAAAAGACAAACACTGATTATCGATTGTTTATAGTGCAAAAAGTTGCTGTTGAACTTCATTTCTTAGTATATATATGTATATATTCGTTGAACTAATGCATAACAAGTAGGCTTAGTTTCATCAGGATCAACTAAACATATCTAAATGTCAATACAAACTATAAGCCTATGGATGAATTTTAATTTGAACAAAGAGGACAACAGAAACCAACAAAATAAAAACACTGAATGTAACTGAAATCACACTTCTATTTGAAGTTTGTGCTGATGATGTTGTTCAGAAGAACAATGAAAGCTCCATAACCAAAACATCCAGCTCAGAGAACCAAACACCACCACCACCACCACAATCATCCACCTGAGCTACAAATCTTCTCCATCATCTCACTAAAATACTTGATACTTGATTGTTCGATATGATAATCGAAACTATGATACGATATATATAAAAACATAAATATTTAAATCATGTACTTTTTCTGTCGGTAAACTTATGAAAGATTTTATAAGTCATACGGTGAAAATCAATAAACTTGAAAACAAATGTATATTGAATCAGTAGATTTGAATAACTAGTCATTTAAATGATTTAAATACCTTTATTTCCGTTTATGTCATGAACTCACTCATTCATTTAATCAGCCTTTACAATAAAAAAAAATACTTAAACTCTGATTCTACATAAATTGTCTCATTTTTCTATCTATGACATATTCATCATCACGGTTCATTAACAACAATGAAGGTGTTTTCCCAGGATAATTCTGTTTGTTTAACTGAAAACATATAGAACATATAGAACAATCAACAGCAACGTAGAATTTCGTACAATACGTACATCAGTTCAAGTTGCCATACCACATTAACATAGAGATGTAATTTTCAATTCAAATCCAATAATAGTAGACATGGTAAAGGTATTAGCAGTAATCGGAAAGATTAGGGTTCGACGATATTATTCAAGAAGTAGAAACTAGTGAAACAGACATAAAAAGATAAAGGTGACGAAGAATTCAGAAATTTAGGATTTGAGAGAACATAAAGAATGAATGCACCTGCGCCATTTCAAACGGTTTTGAGCCATATCATTCAAGGTCTCTAACAGTTGGTGACATAGGTCTCGCAGACCCCAACCAGGTAGCCTACATATATCAACATGACTCAGTCCACCTGTCAGTGACTTCATGGATTTCTGCCACTTTTTGGCTTGGCCACCCCTAGCTTTCTTCTAATCTACTCCTACACTGCAAAACATAGCTCGTCGAGGCAGTCGGTGGTTAGCCATACGTATCACATGTCCCAACCACCTCAACTTATGAAGTTTCAATACATCATCTATTGATCTGCCAACCTTACCTATGACCCGTTTCCTAACAACAGCGTCGCTTACTCGGCTGTCTCACGATACACGAGCAATGCTTCGGAGACACTTATGATCGAAAACCAGCAACAACACAACATAATAGATTAGAATCAATAGAAAAATATATGTATACTACTATTTAATTACTGTAGCCTAGTGCTCTGAAGAAACAGATATCCAACAGCTTCATTAAAGCTAATATTAAAAATTTCATTATGAAGTATGCAGGAGTTTAGTTACATGATAAAAGATCATGTACTATGAATCGATATTGTAATCGCTTCCATATTTTTTTCATTTAAAACTTAGTAACCATAAGAATATTGCCCAAGTGATTCGTTTTTTTCTACTGATTAAAAGATGATTACACTATACAAACGTAACATGAAATGCATACTATATAAATAGAAACTATTAGCAAGTCACACACACACACACACACCTATTCATTCTGGGATGTACTAATAAAGTCATGTTTCCATTAGCGTATCACTAAACGTATCCACCCAAGTTGTAAATCTTCTCCGGCAGTTTAAAATCATGAGTGTTTTTTTAAGAGTTTTAGTGAACTCACCGAAGAATATAATACATATTGAAACAGAAGATATAGAATACTAAGACAGATAGCAAATCAGTTGATGCGATCATAGAACTTTATTAGCCTATGTGACTGAGAGGCAATCTGTATATCTTTCATTTGTTTGTATATGGATTGTTGCACTGATTCAGGCAAGAAATAACGAATTTTTGACCGAGACTGGCAATATCACGAGATCTTAAGTTATTGATGAATAATAGGATTATATTGTTTGTTTCTTAACAATACAAGATACAAAGTAAAGTGGATTGAATAAACGCATTGGTATTAATGAACAGATATCATAAAAATGATTGATAAGCAATCCCAAAATCTTACTTCATGCAATTTTTGATTTTCATCCATCAACGATGCAATATGTGTAGCATAACATGTTTGCATAGATATGAATTGTTCAAATAATCGTTGACGTGCTGCATCTACACCAGATCTTGATTCCACTGCAACGGTATATTCATTGATAAGTCGAACTAAATCGGCCCATATCGCTTCTAATGCTAAAACTGCAGCTGGCAAACTATTTTTCATTGGATTTGTCACTAAGACTGGCGTGTTGTTATTCATTGGATTTGAATAAGGATTATGATTATCGATTGTATGCGGCATAGATCGTCTGGCATTTGGTAATTTCATAAAATCTCCACTAGAATTCTGTACATTAGCTATAATTAACCAAATGATAGATTAAAAATGTAAGATATACACAATGACAGCAACGAAGAAATAGGAATCTAGAGATAGTATATTTAAGACACAATATTCTATCATTCTTGATTATCAAAGTAACCAACCAATTAAAAATGATTGGTTTAAGGGTAAATAAAACTTTTTCCAAGATATTTTTTATGGTCATTTAGAGAAAAATGACTTAATGCAGTATGCATTACTGGAGAGATTTTTTGAGAATGATAATAACCAATAAAGTGATTGATTCCCGAAAGTCGTATATTAACTATTATTTAAGCTTACATGCTTGTCATTAGTTATTTTTTCTCCTAAAATAACTTTAATAACCGAATCTGTGTAAAATTACGCTGTTTCAGTGAATTGATCATAAGAGATTGGATAAAATGTCTATTTATCGGATAGCTGTAAGAGCATTTCATGAAACTAATTATGTTATAATAATAATATTAAAAATTCTAAAATTTCACTTTTATCGTAAAGAATCAAATCAGAACATTCACGTTGACTCAGATAATTAGCATTCAGGTAACAAATAAACAATGTTATCAAGTTATTGTACACACAGGTCGTGAACAAAACGATTTGAAGTTGTTGGATTTGTGTGAATTAGGACGGTTGTAATACACGTGTGTCACGTCAGGCTTTACTTAAGTAACAATGTTGATTGGAACAAGAATTCTTAAATGAATAGTAACCAATGTATCACTTTAGCTTCAATTCACAATAGAAATGTACTTTTGCAAAACAGAGTCCTTAAGATGATAGATCAGGAGTGAAACAATGGCGGGAGAAGGGTTAATCTGTATACAATTGGTATGTGTCTGATTTAAAAAAACCTACGATCTAATATTCTAAATATAAGTGCATTAACTATAATATGCCACAACTTCACATTGAAACACTTAGATCATGACAGAAAACAGGTCAAGACAAATAAGGAATGATTACACTTGAAACACTTCATGATTACTAACAACAACTAGCATTTCTCCTATCCAGCTGAGAACTAACCATGGAGACAAACAGAATAGGATAAATTGTCTTTCACTGATTGTGAAATAGTTAGTGTAGACTATTTTTAAATAATTTTTTTTTTGGATTTATCAATCATTTTCATGTGTTTGCAATGAAATCAATACTCATATTAGAGTAGATTTTTTCTTAGCACAATGTATTGATTGAACAGTTAGTTACTTAAAATTGATTGATCACTCTATATAAATTTATTGTGCAGTAAAAACAATATGTATATATCTATACACTGGAATGAAATAACTTTTCATTCTCAACTATTTCAATCGATTCTCGAGTTAATGCACACTAGAACTGTTGATAGTTTAAAAAGTAATCTATACCGGTAATTATGAAAATTTATTAAAACACAGATACAGAAGTACAATAATTCTGTAAGGATTAACTGTACTATTCAGTTTTACAAAAAATGAGCTATTTTAAATGAGTAATTTTAGCAGTTAGTAGAGAATACTAAAAGAGGAAGTGGAATTTTCAAACTACTTAAAATAACAATAGTTTAGACTTTGTATCTTATAGACATAAGATTAATAAATAGTTACTACTTTGAAATCATGAACCGATCAACGTTAGGACAAGCATTAGAAACCTAGGAGCACTGGACGGCCGTTTCGTTCAGGTATGGGACTAATCAGCAGTGCAAATCTATCACTCCCACTACTCGCAGCAGTCAAACCAAGTTTCTAATGGTGGTCTAACATTGATCGATTCATGATTTCAAAGTAACGCAACAATTTCTAAAACCCTATAAAATGAAATGAAATTATTATTAATACTGTTGAACAGTTAATTCTCAAGGATAAGAATTTTTCGCCCAGTTATTTATTATATTGTCTAAAAAAAATCTAAAAGTAAAAGGACATTTGGTTGAATTCAATAAAAAATTCAATACCGTAAAAATAATGCAAGTTAGCAAGTAGATAAAACATCTACGTATATATACAATGATTTGCATATATGTATATCAGATTAATTTTTATTTCATTCATAAAACAAGTAGCTTGTGATTCGAAAGTACATTAAGTCAAACATTACAATTAACCTCAAGACATCTTCATCAATATTTGGATGGCTACCATCCAATAAAAATTAAACAACAATAATACACTTACTAAAATGTCGTGCCCATAATCCTGGACCAGTTCGACTAGCTGCACCTTGTGCAGCTCGAGCAGCGGCCATTGCTTTGTATCGTTGTTTTATTCCACTTTTATCTAATTGCGGTGGAGCAGACTTCTTTTGATATGTTTCTAAAGTTGGCGTTGGATTCATCAATTTTCTTCTATTATGCTTATTATTTAAACATTTAAAGTTATCCACATTATTTGTTTGTCTGATAGAATATAACACTGGACAAGAGGATGTCCTTCGAAGTCTGTTGCATTTTTTGACACTTACACTGAGTGAACGTGCCCTGCGGAATCTAGGTGAATATGAGTTGGAAGTTGGATACGAAGAAACATTCTTCTTAATACACATAGAATCACATGATTTCAGTTCATTAACAGTTCTGTGAGCATTGCGCTTAGGAGAATTAGACTTATGAGTGCAATTACAAGATGCTTTGTGTTGATTAATTTGATTCCACCGGAAATCTGGAAGATCTACATTTCTAGCATTTTTATTGCAACTACATCGACTGCTACTAGTACTGCTAGCACTGGAACTTCGAGTTCGACTACTTCTTGAACCTGAACTATATTCACTGCAAGAACGCGATCTGGAATCTTGCATAGAATCCCCTTCACATTGTTTACGCAGTGAACGTCTATGCCGACGTCGTCGACTTGATGATGATCTGGAAATGTTCTTATTATCAGCTCCACTGAATGGTTTTAAACAAACATTCGGTATAAAATCACGATCATAATGATGTGCAGCATCTTGAGTGACAACACGATGAGAATGCAATAATAATGGAGGTCCAGTATGAAACTTTTCTGGAAGAGATTTTATTTCACTAAAAAAAAATAATAAAATAAATAACCATTCATTCAGATAGTAAGTGGAATAGAAAAGAAATATATTAATCTAAATAATAAAGGATGAAATAGATTTCTTTTATTTAAATGGTTAATTATCTAAAAGGATTCTATAAATGAATTAGAACAGTTTATAAATAATACTTGTATTCCATTGAATAGTGATTATCAATTTAAGATTCTATAAATTCCACGAACCAAAATTTTACATGAATAAAGTACTTTTATGAATAGGTGTACATGTCCATCCAAGTTATTTATCATTTCAGTTTTGATCATCTAGTTTCTTCCTAAATCTATAACTTTGAGAGAATATAAATTGGAAATGTTGACTGATGTGGAAGCAATGACCTGAAATTTATGAATTCAAATTTTGATAACTCCATGGAAGTCTCTACTGCTTAAATTGTGTATTTAAACGAAACAACTCATCAGTGTAAATTTAAACCATTCTCCAGGTAACTCAATACGAGCCACACCTTAATTGTGGGGGTCAATGACGGTAAAAGACGGAGTGAGTGGGGTTCGAACTTTGGACTTGGTAATTGAAAGTCAATCACCTTAACTCCACTAGACCAGCAATCTAAGTTGTCTAGTTAACTTAAATCATATTTTATCATATCATAATTAACTCATACATGATTAAAAGCTGATGGAACTCAATATATACGATTTTTTTTTCTCGACATTTTTTGCCAACTATCGTTCACTGTTACATGTACTTTAAAAAAATTTGTATGAATTATTGATATTTACACACAAAGTCTAAATAATCATTTAGCTGTTTGTTCAAGATTTATATATCTCAATAAAACATGTATTCATTCAGTCAGGCACAACTAACTAACTATTCAGAAATGTAATAATTTTAAGTAAAAAAAAACCAGTATACATCTTTAATGGCAACGAATACAGCTGTGAACATTTAAAATATGCCAGACTGTTTGAAATGAAACTAAAATTAAAAATCTTGATACAATTTCAGTACACTTAATCTTCTGATAAAATCATTCAAACTGTAGGTCTAATGAAAATAAATGAAAATTTTCAAGAAATATCCATTACTTAAGATAATAGAATACTAATAATAAGAAGAAGAATGCTGAGAACGTTTGGAAAATAATTAACTATCGCATATTTAATAGAATCTGACAATGTAAACATTGAACAGTGAATACTATGTAACAAAAACACAATACTATATGGATTAAAAGACGAAGAAGAAGAAGAAGAAGAAATAAATACTTCATTCATGACAAATAAATAAATCAATCAATTTTTTGAAATAAAATTAAAAAAACAATTATTAATCAAATCATATCATACAGTGTATTGGGAGATTTGTTTAGCAGAAATAAATTATAGTTTGTTTTTTTATCAATGATAAGCAGTAATAACAAGCAAAAAATAATTATTGATCTAGTCACTAATTCAATTAGATAATTATGATAATCAATTATTATAGTCAATATGTAACAAGAAATCAATATTCTCTCTCTCTCTCTCTTTCATTAGGATAAATATTTAGTCTATTTTGCATACTTCCCCTTCAATCGAAATTACTGAGTAGTATTACAGACTTTAAGACAGAAAATTATTACTATTATTAATTTAATTATGCTCCTTGTATATCCTTGTATACATTTATATATATATAAATATACATAAATCACTTATTAAGTTATTTGGTCATGTAACGATTGACAAGCTGATTGATTTGATCAGTTTAATTATGTCAGTGGAATCTCTGCAGAGGTATAATTTATTGGCTCAATTTCAAAAAAGAATGCAATAGTTTTTGTCTACTGAAATCACTTCGAGTGTATAGAACTGCTGCTTAGTGTAAATGATCAACTATTCATTTTAAGAAGTAGTATGTGTTTGAGCGTTATGATGTAAAATTGATAATACCCCAGTCAATCAGCTACAATGTAGAATTCCGTATGTCCGTAGATCAATCCAAGTTGTCATACGACATTAATACAGAGAGAGACGCAATTGTCAATTCAAATCCCTTAGTAATACAGGTAGTGGAAGTATTATTGATAATGGAAAAGAGTAGGGTTCGAAGATATAATTCAAGGAGTTTAATCCAGTGTAATAAATTTAAATAGAGATTAAAGAAAAAGTCCTGAGCTCATGAGGTTATGAAAAATACAAAGAATTGATGCACCTGCGCCATTCCAAACGATTTTGAACTACGTCATTCAAAGTCAAAAAATCGGTTACTATATTGTCTCGCGGACCCCAACCAGGTGGTGTACACCTACTAACATGGCACAGTCAACTTGTCAGTGACTTCATGGATTTGTGCCATGTTTTGGTTTGGCCACTCCTAGCTTTCTCCCAGCCTACTTCTACATCAAAAAGCATTGCTCTTTGAGGTAGTTGGTGGTCGGGCATTCGTAACACAGTATTGATAATACATATTGAATCACGTGTTTGGTCACACTATATTTTTTTATCTTACATTGTAAGTTACCTAAACATTTGCACTTAACCTGATGACTGATTTATTTTATATTTAAGGAAAGCCATAAAATTAGACTATAGTATACAGATTTTCCATCATGTCAGGTCCCGAATTTGGATGGACAATATAAACTCGAATTTCTAGTAAAAATTTGTGACCGGCGGAACTAAACCATGTCAAATTTAAGGTAGTTACTCGACGAAGACAAGTGACAATGACCACAGAAAGTTGTAGACTGGGTGAATTTAAACACCAACACCACTGAGTATCGACTAATTGGTCTAGAGGTAAAGCATTCGCGTGCGCGACCGGTCCTGGGTTAGATCTCCGTGTGAGGAGTCGTGGATGTGTACTACTGACGAATTTCATACTATAAAAATATATGGTCATCTAACCCTTCTAAGGTTTTCAACATTGGTCCAACACTGATAGGCTCATAATTTCAAAGCAATACAAAAGTCTTTGTTTTTTTAACTCGTTAACTCCTCAAAACATGAAAAACCATGATGGAACTTACAGTTTACGATCACTAAAGAATCATTAGAAAAAAACATGAGACACTGAGGGTTAAAAGACAAAATAAGTATGTTTTATATCACATAACCAGGAATCTAACAAAGACAAACTTAGTTAACAGTTTATATCTAACAAGGAAAGGATCAAACAGAAATTATGATTCATACTATCAACGCTTTATTCCACTAAATAAACACACACTGCATATAGATGTTTATTTAAAAAAAGGTCAAAAGGAATAGCTTAAACCAACATTTAAATGTTGTTTCAGAGTCTGTTATTGAAACTACCTACTAGTGAATGTGTTGTGATAAATATTAACTTCAACAATTTCAAGTCAAAATGTTCAGTAGACCATGTCTCTGAAGCACTTTCATTTAACATAAATAACTATATATATTGACAGTGTTTATTGTGAAAGCAAAACAAAATGGTCGATACATAGTCGTAGTTAAAATTCCAAGGTCATACTATCAATTGTTGAAGATCATTGAAAAGTACATTTATACAGTTAGATAGACAATGGGGAAGACAAATCAACTAACATACAAAATTAGTTGAAAAACCAAGATGAACAAATGATAGAACTTGTCCTCATTTGTTGATGTAAACGTAACACAATGGTATAAATGAATAAAAAGTGACATTTAACAAAGACACAAACCCAAAAATGAGGTCAAAGTTAGAAGCATCCAAGCTAACAAAGAAGATGTGTAGGAAGACATACAGCAATATACAAAACCAACACACATATATTCATCAGACAAGTTTTCTTCGGAAACAGACAAATAACATGAATGATGTGATGCTTTTTAGATGAAGAGATAAATTTAAAACAGTATCTGCCTTCCATATAAATCGATTTTAAATAGAAAACAGTGTAAAAAAATTCAATATATATGCCTACATGCACTTACCAGCTTGTCAATAACCTAGGTGGAGGTGGAAGTTTAATTCGACCATCGTTTGGTGCCCATAAACGACGCAATGTTAACTGGGGCAGTATAACATTAGAAGGGGAAGATTGATTTGAGGCTGAATTAGTTGAAGTATTTGTTATTGTTTGATCAATTGGTTTATTTGGTCGTACCGGGAGAAATTGATGCGTTTTCGATTGACTAGTTTTCCGTATCAACGCTGAAATTTGTTCACATATTGAAGCTTCCGAAGTTTGGGAACGTTGTGAATTCGTTGAACCGGAAGGAAATGGAGCCACCGATGCACATAATCCTACACTTCGTAAAGCTGCACTTAAAGATGGGGGTAGTTTAATAGGCTGTAGTATAAATAACAGAAAAACAAAATAGATCATTATGGTAATGTAGATTAGTGTGGATAGTTGGCTTTTGTTTACTAGTCTAAATAAGTTCACATATCCAAATGCTAAATACCATTAAAAATAACCATACCTAATAAGGAAGGCATTACAAACTAACAGTTAAACACGTTTGAAACATTCTAACCTCTGATAATGATACCTGTACACTTATAACTGTAGGCAAATTTTACAGTTCTCCAGAAAATTTCATTCAATGCAAACATCAAGAGTTATTCCCGTTAGATTTCTGACGAACCACAAAAGAAAATGCTTGTAGATGATAAGTGAATAGTTAGTTCAAATGATTAACATTTTTAAGAAACAACAAACATTTGAAAATTTGAAATAATGCAGAAATAAACTACAGATTACAAGTTGGGTATTTTACAAATGTAACAGAAATGTAATTAAGGAAAATTATGCTCCCTAGATCTACCTAGTTTTAATGATAATTATTTACTAATTTCAAATTTATTCCAGTTTGTTACAGCCTGTCGATAAAAAAATAAGATAAACACACGCTCATACTTACATAAAAAAGCTACCGTGGCAAATTTACAAAGACATCAATAAACTTACTTATCAGGAAATATAAGTCATTCGAAAAATAGAGAATGAACATATCAATCTCAAATAATTTCTATACTATATATATATATATATATATATATATATATATATATATATATATCATCAGTAATATACATGACATATGATATTGCCGTGAGATTAAAAAGCACAATCGATGTATTAATAACCATTGAACAATAAACGTTAACTATACTAGTTTTCTTATGTTTCTATGCTTGTCAAAAGCAACCACAACATCAACAACAACACCAACAACAACAAGAAACGACAAACAGTTAAGATTGAATTCAATAAACCATTCAATTTAATGACTGACAAATTCACTCAGTAACAATCAACAGAAATATCAATTGAATTGAATAAGTAGTCGAATTTTAACCAACAATAACAATAACAACGAAAAACTCGTGAAGTAAAAAAACAAATCTAAATCAAGATGCATTGATTTTACTAGAGAACAAAAATAAAGAGGGAAAATTCGAGACAAGTTTGTCAGTCCTCTTTACTATACAGTATTATTATTATTACGGTTATTATATCACAAAGAAACGATAAAAATGTGTGATTAATCAAGACATGGAATGATCTAATGACAAGTGAACTTTACGCATCATTGGCTAACAGTGATCGATTCATGCTTTCAAATAGTAACTCGTACAATCTCCACAATCCTATCATGTCAACTGATTATGAAATAAACTTTTTAACCAAAAACTTTATTTCATGCATGAGAAAATCTTTAACGATATTACACGATAAATATTTGTCTTCATCAATGAATTGTAGCGTCTTTCTGTGAAAAGATTTTAAGCATTAAAGCAAGTGAGAAAATATCACAACAAAACACTGAAACTCTATTCAATTGTAGTAGGAACTTATTACTAAATAGAATGTGTCATTAAGACGCAAATCAATTTTGAACAATATTAACAATCAAAAATGATTTGCATGAAATAAGTAATCGAAAATGACCTTATTTCAAATTGATTAGAATCCTATCAGAATGAGATATCCAGTCGAGGCTGTTATAGAATGATGAAAAACATCATGTTTATTCAAATATCCTGGCGAATCGCGACAATTGATGAAAAGAAACCGATCGATACACTCTGATAAATAAATGATACGCAACTAGGCAAATATATATATGTATATATATATACTGAATAAAATGGAAAATTGCCTTGAACATAATGAGTAGTAGGGAAAAACAACATGAATCGCGATCTAAATTATGGATAAATTCAAAGTAGGATTCACATAGAGGAAAGAGAGGAAATGCATTATCAGAATACAGTAAACATTTTATGTAGAAAAGTAACGCGATGAAAACAAAATCACCAAAAGAGAGAAAAATTCATCCTAAACTGATATATAACCGTTTATCATATTTAAAAGGCGGCATACATGAAAAGAAAAACCTTAAATGCATAAATACTAAAAAAACATCTAGAAATATAAAAATGAAAACTAAATATGAAAATACAAAAATGACTGAGGCTAAAGTCAACAAGAGATGAAAAAACTTTGAGAAGATAATCATGTAATATAATGATCCAGAACAATTCATGCAATTCAACATTGAATATGTGAAATACGGATGTATCAACTAGACAACACAAACAAAACACCAACTGACCTGTGCAAATTTAATTTTAAATTCTTCTAGGCGGCGATAAGCATCAACAGCAACCACAGGTTCTTTGAGATTAGATTTCCCAACAATTTCATTATCACGTACAGTATTAATATTGGAAAGGATAGAATTAGCATTCATATTTAGCCGACGACCCGTGTACAAACGAAGATAACATCGCCAGTTGGTAGAATCAAAACCCCAATGATTTAAATTGTCCACTTCCGTAACAGTATGTGTATGTCCAACAAATTGTTCCGGAGAAAAATATCGACAACATGTGACACATTTGATACATTTCGAATAAGGTTCCCTATACATATTCGGATATATTAATCCTAATTGTCGTCCAAAACATTCATGTATTACTGGGATGACGCTAGATTCCATAGGATTTTTACAACTATTCTCCGGTTGATTCTCATCATGACCAGAATCTAAGCGATCTGATGATGATTGTGCATTATCTAGAGATTTAGTTGATTTAGAAGTATCCGTTGAAACAGGGCTCAATTGACGATAGTCTTTAGGGAAGCTCATACTACTAGCAGATTTCATTTCAGAATCATCACCAATATGAGGATTAACTGGAGATTTACATGTTGTATTCTCTTCACAATTAGATCCCTCCAGACACATATTTTGATGACGAATATACTTGGTTAATCTTTCTGCATCACTTTTACGAATAAGGCCACAGCTACCGACGGTACGGGGAAGTATTTGACGTGAATGTAGCAAACTTAATTGAGCTGGAGTACAGGTTGTACAAGCTATTTGAAGCTTTGTACATGCTTTATCTATGATTTGTAAATCCACATCATGCAAAACAAAACGAAATAAGTGTGGTAAACATAAGCGTTTTTCACCCCAAACATTAAATCCCATTATGACTTCACCGTCAATGAGACTGGGAACTAATGTCCCAGTATCTTGAGATTCAATTGATACAGGAGTATTAGGAGTACTATTTGAACCCCAATTTGTCTTTGGTCTCTCGGATTGTTTTTTTAATGTAGGTCGGACTGGAGGTTGATGACAGGTAAGAAAGAAATTTTCACAATCATTAACTGAAGAGGAACGAGAATGTTCTGGTCGAGATACAGATTTACTAGTTAACTTTGGTTTTACTTCCGGTACTGATGGTTCAAAAGGTGCATGAACATTAGTAGCTCGGGGCAATCGCATATTAAGAGGTTGAGGAGGTAAAGGTGGTAAGTAAATATCCTTGAGCATGTATCTTGGTAGAGATAAAAGGCCCATTTGAAGACTGGATGCAAGAGCATGCTGAAACCAACCTGGCGAATTTAATAAATTGTTAGGTGTACATTGAGTTTTCGGTGGATTTGGATCAGATCTACGAAATAGTTCAGGTGATTGAGATGGTGTGAGCGAAAGATCATAGTCCTGAGGTCGTCCAAAAATTCGTGAAACTAGATTCTGTCTGAACTCGGCTACATCTGCTAGAGGTGACGTTGAGAAATATGGATTATTAGGAAGAGAGAACGCCATAACGTACGTCCGAAATATAGTTCAATATCATATAGAAATTTTCACCAATTTGAAAGGATAGGTCTAAACGGAATTATTCCAAGTGCTTTCCCACAAAACATTTCGAGGCAAAATGACCAGACGTCCCCAAACCTTATTATTTAAAAAAACGCTTCTGACAGATACCTGTCTACAATTGAAAACACGGATCACAGACGGGCATGGGAGGGGTGTGAGGTATGAACATAGCAAGGTCACACACACCAAAAACGAAACGTGGGCTGGTTGAGAGAACACGCGTGGCTAATGTCTGGATTATTGTTTGTTGTCTGTCTATCTTTGTCTATGCCCTTAAACATGTCCTTCAGTATTTCTCTCTTAATCCTTTTTTGTTATACGACGTGTCTTTGTAAAATGCGTGGGTGAGGTATGAAAATACAAAACCAACCCTTTTTGACCTCTGACTGGTTAACTAGCTAGCCAATCAAAAACACGATTTCATACAGCAAACATGTTAAGTAGTTCCCTCACTTAAATTTTATGTTGCAGTAGTTACTATCGCCAAAGAAAGCTTAGTAACATCTTTTTTTCACTGTCTGGTCGTGACATTTTGGCTCCGGCAAAAAAACTCAACTATGAGACAATTTAGATAATGAATAAAGTACATCACATCGACCAAACAACAGATTTGGTATTATTATCTACCTAATATGAGTTCATTTGGCGCAGCAAGCAGTTATACATCTAAACATGTACACTGCATCAACGTATGCAATATGTCAGATCTCTATTAGTAGTTCATTTGTCACTTCCAGCGGGTGGTAATAATGAATAGTCTTCGGATAGAACTGTATCGACACTAATGGAAAAAAATTTGTGGTAATGAAAACACCAGATCTTATGATAACCTTGTCCCATATGACTAGAAACTAGTTATCTGAGTTTCAGCTAAACAACATCTACTGACTGAATGCAGCATCATAGCACCGGTAGTCAAGACTTTTAAAAAAGTTATCATGCAGAACCTATCTAAATAAAAGTCATACCTAAATGGGTAGTCGACAAGATCTTGAAGAGAATTGTTTTCCCTTAACCTCTTCCTCAGATAAAACTATCAGTAGTCAAAAATGATTTTTCTTTAACCCTAGTAAGACAGATGCTTGCTCTGAAGCAATCAAATTACACTCTTCATTATTATTTAAACAATACTCTTAAAAACATTATAAATTAGTGAGTAGTTTTCCAATCATGTTAATAAGAAAATGCTGACTTATCCATATGATATGATTACTTTGTGTATATTGGTTTGTAGCATTCTGTATAAAGCAACATATATAATTCTGTATACTCTAACTTCATATGCTATTAGAATTTCAGAATATTTTGTTAGATTTTAAAATCTGTAGGCTTCCATTGATAATTCAACGAACAAATCCTTACAATTGAAAATTAACATGTTTGAGAATGAGAAAATCGCTTTATATGACTAGATATTTGCGTTTTCATCTAAGCAAAGAGTTGGTATTACAGCTGTATTTTTATAACTATTATTGTTGAGAAGTTGATTTTCTGAAATAACCCTATGTACACATACATTCCGTGTCAATCTTCAATAAAACACTAGATTCAGTTTATTGTCAAAAACTAGTGATAAGTTTCGATATGTCTTCCGAAATTTCATGGTGACAAGTGGAAATGCAACAAGCATCAATGACCTTGACCAAATCAATCTAGATTAAGATGGTCACAGTAAATTTTTGCGAACAATTGAAAGTACATTACCAGATTGCTTTCATGCTATGGATGACTAAGGGAAAATTGGTTATATTTGGTTTTCAAATGTTCGATATCAGTGTAAATATTTGCTACACTACCAAACAGTGAATATGACATGATACTTAAGCTAATTTACAAGAAATACATGTTCGTAATGTAAACTCCATCAAAATATTTGATGTAAATCAATCCATAGTCAACGGTGTTTGTTTGATTGGATAGTGATCTCCAACTTCCAATCCCGACTCTTAATATCAACTTAACTCTAAACGAAAGAGCTATAACGCATCAATGAATTAAATCTGATGTTTGTTAGTGATGAAAATCGTAACAATCTTAATGTGTACCTTAATCTTTTTTCTTCGTCAGAAAGAATTATTGAACATGCATCGATGAATTATTCATATCGTAAGGACTGTTCCAGTGTGATTTTACTGCTTTTATCGTAATTTAATAATGTTTCCTGAATGATTGATGAGTCACTCAGTACAACATAGTTTTGCCATTGGAACTAATGGAGCTTTATAGTGTGGAACGTGAGTAAACTCCTGGCAGCTTGCTTGAATATCTCGTAACATCGATGCATTTCAACAAGTTGTCTTTTTTCGTTTATTCAGGTGCGTATATAGAAAGTTTACGATCTATCGCTTCACATTGCATAAAAGAAGTACAAACCGAAACATCATCGTGGCTGACAACATGGTAGGAAAAGAATACACGTTAATAAGATGTCCATTTCTGAATTGCTTACTTCCAACTGTCAATAACTAATTGTTTTGCAACGGAAACTTGTTCACATACTGTATGCTGAGAATTCTATACAAAACAAACTCTGTACAAAACATATAATATTGAATAAAGCTATTATTGTTATGATTCATCAGTGGTAAAAGATTTGCATTAAATCTATTATATCAGCTGAATCTAGGAGTGCGAACCACTGAATGACAATTGACTAACTGATAGGTAACGACCTTTCTATGCAATTTGAACACTTTGTTTATACTGACGAAGAATACTTTATGAGGAATAAACCGATCACAAGCTTTATAAGTTGACATCCATCAGTGTCTAAAGAACTTTTCAACTAAAAAATTCATTTCCCTAAATTATTTTACACTTATATGTAAATGGTTTGAACGAGTGGTACTAATTATCATATACTACTGATTAACACTGAATTGGTCGATCTAAACCTGAAGAATAATGGTACATAATAAGATAAGATCAATTAATCATTAGCATTGTTTGAAATGATCCCGAATAGACATTCACAACTTTATGTTGTTAACTATCAAATAGAAACACTGTCACTTATTTATTTCATAACTCGATTTTATTCAATACTGTCCCACTGAAATTGTCAAACAAACGTAACTTTCACTTATCAGATATTTAGTTTTGATTTTTTCAACTAGAGTTATAGAGATTAGTGTTTTTACACATTGAAATGATCAATCAATCATTGTTAGACCACCATTAGAAGCCTTAAAAGCACTAGGCAGCCGTTTGATCCTGGTATGAGACTCATTAGCAGGGTGCATCCTCCTGTACCTCACAGGATTCTAATCCAGGACCTTAGGTCTTGTGCGCGAATGCCTTACCTTTGGATGTGCATGTGCACTGCTGATAAGTCCTATACCAGGACGAAACGGCTGTCCAGTGATTCCAAGTTTCTCATAGTAGTCTAAACATGATTGAATGGTGATTTAGTTTTGAGTTAAATTTTTTTTATAACTAACCAACTTTATTTTTCATTACTTGTTGACACTCATTTGTAATTTTTTCTATCGTTAAGATAAGTAAGTCATCATTATCATTGTAAATTTATTACATAGAATTGTAATTGTCTGTAATAAAATAAGGACATGATAGTAAACTCTTTACATAGATTATTTATATACCATACAATATGAGACATTCATTCATCCAGTATATTTCATTAGCTTTATCAATAATACAAGAATAAATAAATATATATTAACATTAGAGAAAAAATAATGGAAAAAAAAATCTGTATTTTAACCTTGTCCTCAATTTGGCCTTGAACGAAACATGTTCTTAGAATAGTAGAACATCATAACTGAACACCTTAGTTTGCATATATATATATATATATATATATATATATATATATATATATATATATAAGAGTATTTGTAGATTTGTGTGTGTGTGTGTGGTCTTATTGGATCAAGGAAATAGAATGAGATGATGGTATTAGTTGACGATCATCATCATCTGGCAATGTACTAATTATTCATTCGTTCATATTTCTAACTTTGGTCTTAATCTCTCTCTCTCTTTTCTTAAAACTACTTTCATTACTGTGATTATAATAGTGATAATATATTATCGTGACAAATACATGTAGACTGGTTATAATAATAATAAAAATAATAATAATATTAATAATAATGTTAGTGTCTTTAAATTGCAAATAATCGATAATTGACCTAATATAGACAGTATATAGAAAATGTACTGAATTTCGATATTCCTTGTTAGTTCATTAGTTAATTAAGTCAACTGAATTATAACAATGAAAATATCTAGTCAATGGATAAATTAATAAAAACCTAATATTCTGTCATGTTTTTTATGATATTTATGATTCCTATTGGAAAAAAAAATTGTGAAAAAAAACTGTTATTTAGTTGTGAAAAGTAGTTTAGTAGCCCAGGGTCTGACTCACGTTTGGACGAACGAAATAAATTTATGTATAACATTCTTAGGTGTACTCTATTTCTGCGACAGCGATTTATTTTGGCTGAATTGATTTGATACGTTCGTGCAAACAAACCGATATTATGTACGAGAAGCATTAGAGCGAAGTTAAGCGGAGAAGGTGAATGAACCAACTCAATGTGATAAAGCAGGACTGAGTAGTTATATTCAGATAAAAATAAGCTAGACATATGATAAGCAGAGCAAGTAATGTAGATGCGCAGTGCAGTTAAAAACAACCAAGATTACAAGCGGATAACTGACAAGGTTGAAAGACGTGTGAATGACTCGAGACTGAATGGGATAAGGCATGGGATCTCGACATATTAGTAAACACTACACTATTCTGTGACAAGAAACTGTAGACTGTTTTCATGTTCGTTGGCACCTTTCAATAAGTCATATCCCTAATCATGATTGAAGTGATAGTCCCAGTGGGATTCAAACTCATATTATCTAGTTATAAACAGAGATATTACCATTGAACCTCTGTACAATATATTTACTTAAACTGGTTG